AGGGAAAATGGGGGGCTTTGGGGTGGCATCATGCCATCCTGATTTCAATCGGGATGGCATATAGCCACACCCCACTCCCGGGAAAACACAGGGTTTGGGTGGGTGGGTGTAGACTAGAACCCACGCCAAAGTGCCTTCAATTAACTGGAACTTAAACAACTGGAATTTGCAGAAACCCAAATAAATAATTCTTTAAATTGAAAAAACAAACAATTTTTAGCCAAAATGTTACATTAATATTGACATTAATATTGAAATCTGAAATATATGCAGAGATGAGCACCACCTCTCAGAGCTGAAAGGGGAAGCCTTTACCTTTATCTGTTTTTGTTGTTTCTATGCATTGTGTATGCTGGAATCCGCCCTGAGTCCTCTCGGGGAGACAGGGCAGAATATAAATAAAGTATTATTGTTAAGTATTATTATTATTTGTCTTAAACCATGAAGGTTGGTTTAATTTCCTATCTCTCTATGAGTTTGCCCTTACAATTAGTTCTCCCCCCTTATCTCACCCAGAGTTTTAAAATCATTTTATGTATATGCAGCTCGCCCTTTGTTTGTCTGCCATTATGCTTAGTTCCTATGTTTTGTGTATATTGCTTTATATGCTTTGATGTTTTATATTTTACTGTTATGTTGTTTATTTGATTGCAATTTGTATTGTTATATCGTAATTTTTGTTCAGGCTTGGCCCCATGTAAGCCTTTCCGAGTCCCCTTTGGGGTGATGGTGGCGGGGTAATAAAGTATTATTATTATTATTATTATTATTATTATTATTATTATCAGTCGTTGTATTTCAATATTAATATCAAGTTAATACAGATTTTATGGTATGGCATAGTATGGGATATAGTATGGGGCATAGTATTAGTTAGGTCTATTTTAATAGTACCTCTCAAGCAACCAGAAATGTTTATCCAGCATCAACCAATTCCCATGGGTGCGTGTTAATTGAGAGTCTACTTTATACTATAACTAAGCAGCAGCAAATATATACCCCAAAATCTCTTGTAACTGATATGAATGTATGCCTGAATCAAACTTATTTAGCTCAAGAAAAAAATATTCAAATATTCACACCCATTTTTGCCTCTGGTTTGGGGATGGAACAGATAGTTCTCCTCAAACATGTCGTTTGGGTTCAACGGTTGCCAGCTACTGACTCACAATGTAGATCACAACTTAAGCCAATTTAGGTGAAAGGTTTGGGTAATATCTGAATGAGTCATCTTTGGTTTTTAACCAAAAAATCTGATCATGTCATCACACATTAATCTGTATTAAGTAGCTTATAACTAAAAATAAAGAACATAAATCTAGATCAACTTCCTGCAACCTAGTGCTGCTCTAATCTGCTGGACTACAGGTTCTGTGATACGCAGCCATCATGTCACATGCTAGATGGGCATTATAGTCCAACAATGTTCTATCATTCCGAGAAAAGCAACCTGAAGAAATAGTCTCCCCATGGATAATGTGCCATCATTATTCCCGAGACTTGTGATTTTAATAGCAGAACTATTCATTACATTTCTAAATCATGTTTTTATATAAGTGACACCATTATTTTAAGCTCTTTTATGACATTATGATGCTAATTCAGTTTCACATTTTGTCATGGTGTTTCAGTTTAATGGCTCTTAAACCATCAGGACAATGAGGTAGTTAAGATGAACCACTTTAAAGCACGCTCTTTGCTTTTTTTGCACGGCATATGCCGAAAAGGATTTTTATTTCCTCTGAGGCCAAGATTATAGACTCCAGTTACTTCTAAATCTATGGTTCCCAACCTTTTTTTGACCAGGGACCACTTTGACTAGAGGCCACTCTCCAACATTAGTACCAAAAGGGTTACAAAACAGTTTTTGGTGAACGTTAGATTTGGTTTGGTTATTTGGGATGCTGATTCAGAAAATTGCATTGGACAGGCCACATCAGCTCTAGTTTCTGATGCAGAACATATGCCATCAAGTAGTCGCCATCTGCTCGCTCACAGAAAACCATATTTATTAATCTAGAACTGATGTGGTCTATCCAATGCAATTTTCTGAATCAGCAACCCAAATAACCCCAGGAACAGGCCTAAAAACAAAGACACCAAGGAAAAAAAATTGGTTGGGTTTTGTTATTATGTGTAGTAGTGATGTGTATTATGTGTAGCAGACCATATTTTAGTTCTCAGGCCACTTATTCTTGTGAAGATTTGAAAAAGAATAACATGATATTGTGGGTTAACTGGAGAGAGATGTGTCAGCAGCCTGGGGTTCTGATTGGCTGCTGCCTCTGGCTAGCTGCTGAGACCAACGGTTCTAACTGTCATTCTGCAATTTTCTCCGCTTTGGACAGTGGAGAGAAAGTGTTGGTTGCCAACTATCTTAAAAGCTAATCATTTTAAGGCATGAGGCTTATTTTAAAGACTATTTAAAGGAACTATTTTATTCCTTTGATCTCTGCCTGTATTCAAAGAGACCGATGCATATATTGTTACCATGTTTGAAACTTTGTAGTAAATATACAGTTACTTGTTTCACAAGCCTGTTTAAATACTGCGGTAAAGCTTCTGCTTATTCTGCTTATTCACATTTACCAACCCTCACAATAATGCACCTATAGAGTGCTATGATTCCACCTTAGTTGCCATGGCACTTGAGCTCTCTGGAAGAGAACATGCCAAGCAAGCCCCACCACCAATATTGAATATTTCCTCCAATGTTCCAATTATTGGAACTGATGAGTGACTATGCCTATACCATTCCTGTACAAAAAAAATATTTTGGAGATCCACGTGGCATTTTCCTCATTCCAAATATTTCCTGGGAACTCCTGGCGTTGCCAAGGACTCTACAATCCTACTTTCCCAGGTCAAATTAACCTAGAAGTTTTCAAAATGAAACTTAGGGCCCTCACACACAGTCATATAGCTCAGAATATCAAGGCAGAAAATCTCACAATATCTGCTTTGAACTGGGTTATCTGAGTCCACACCCTCCAATATATTCCAGTTCAAAGCAGATGTGGGATTTTATTCAGCTTTGTGGAAAGGGCCTTAGCTGTCTGTTTGTATTATACTGAAGCTACCTAAGATGGTCATCACGAATGAACGTGGTAATTGTTTCCAGAACACAGATACAGTAGAGATCAAGTAAAGGGATGAGGAAAGTTTTCACAAAAAAAAAAAAAGATCCTAATATTTAGTATAATATTGCTAAAGCATCTTAATACTCTTGAGTGCAATTCATTCATTTATTTATTTTATTTACCGTATTTTTTATCCCTCCCTTTTAAGCCCAAAGGCGACTCAGGTCGGCATACAGATTGGCAATAATTAAATGCCACAGCATATATACATACATATCAATTAAAAACAGTTAAGTCACATAATAAAAATCCACATAAAACCACTTAAAACTATATAATCAATATCTACCAGTTCAACTCCTTATCCAACTGCATCGTCTAAGCTGTTCTGTGTTCGTTATTCCATCATACTATGTTTGTCCAATTACACCGTGTTTCTGAAGACTTCCTCAAAAAGCCAGGCTTTTCTCCGAAAGGTCAGGAGGGAGGGGGACCAATCTAATATATCCACAGCCAAGGAACTCATCAATAATAATGAAGCTTCAGGGGAAATGGGTAAAAATTGATTTCTGAAATGTTGCATGAATTTAGATGTGACTCATGGTCAGCAGGAGGAGAAGGAGGGAGAACATATAGTAGAGATAAGGAAGAGGAATCGAGAATATTCCAAAAACGGGTTTGGATACAAATCTGGGAATAGGCAGGTTAAATCAAAACACAAAGAACTGGGCACTCTTATATTTCCAGAGGCATATTTTTTTCCTTCCTGGATAAGTTCTGACTTTTTCCCTTGACATTCATCTTTTCATAAACTTCTACCGCATTCCTACTTAATCACATTTTTCTAGGCTACAACCGCATACGTGCTGCATCTTGCCATTTCAAGGGTGTTGCTCCAGCACCTTGATACCCTGGGTTGCGTTTTTCAGTTGCCGCTTCTCTTGAATTATCAATATCATGCTAGTTTAAGCAAATTAATATCACAGTTTGAAAGTTAGATATTTAAAATAGAAATATCAACATAGTTACTTAAATATTAACTTAAATGCTACATTACATGAGTCAACAATAATTGGGCAATACATGTACTGGTAATACTTTGGCAATGCCTTACTAGTATTAGTGCATAACAACAATGTTGAATCCATGGCTATTGTGTTGACATCAGTCATTACTTCATCATTAATACAAATATAGGTGTTGTTTTAGGTAGTGTTTTAAAGCCCTGGCTCATACTAGTCTATTTGAACAACCAAGTAAAAGGTAAAGGTAAAGGTTTTCACCTGATATTAAGTCCAGTCGTGTCTGACTCTGGGGATTGGTGCTCATCTCCATTTCTAAGCCAAAGAGCTGGTGCTGTCCATAAACACCTCCAAGGTCATGTAGCCGGCATGACTGCATGGAGCGCTGTTTCCACCAAGGTGGTACCTATTGATCTACTCACATTTGCATGTTTTTGAACTGCTAGGTTGGCAGAAGCTGGAGCTAACAGCAGGAGCTCCCTGGATCCAAAACCTACAACCTTTCGGTCTGCAAGTTCAGCATCTCAGTGCTTTAACCCACTGCGCCACCAGGGGGTCATTATTACTACTCCGATAGAGAACTAAAAATACATCTACAGTGTGCAATTAATGCAGTTTGACAGCACTTTATATGTCCTGGTTCAGTGCTATGGAATCCTGAGATTTGTAGTTCAATAAGGCATGATTAGGACCCACGGTAGTGCAGCGGGTTAAACCGCTGAGCTCCTGAACTTGCTCACCAAAAGGTTGGTGCCAGTTCGAATCTGGGGAGTGGGGTGAGCTCCTGTAGTTAGACCCAGTATCTGCCAACCTAGCAGTTCGAAAACATGCAAATGTATCTGAATGCAGACAGGAGTGAAAAATTAAAGTAGGACAGAGGAAAATGTGATGTTTGTACCTGTTACTAAGCTGGACACAATGAGCGGCAAAACCAACATCTGTAGCATTCTCATTAAAAGTTCACCAGGGAAGGAAAAGTACTTCACTTCTCGATAGCTGAAGTTGTATGACCGGAGACCAAATCCAAGGATAACACCTGGGGAGAAAGAAAGAAAAAAGCATGAGAAGACATTGTAAAGCAAAACCTATGTATCTACAGAGACACTGTTACTATAACTGAACAGAGGGCTTACTGAACTAAACAAAAATACATTGTATAATAATTGAGCAGTTGTGACTTTTCAGTAAATACTTGTAGGAGTTGTAGGTTGTGCCCAGGTAAAGATTCATATTCTGTGTTGCATCATCTTAGTTACTCCTAGAAGTACAGTTCCTAAGCCTTCCTGGAGGGAGAGGGAATAACCATTAAAGCAGTTCATAGAGCTGCAGTGGCGCAATGGATTAAACCCTTATGCCGGCTGGACTGCTGACGTGAAAGTCGGTGGTTCGAATCTGTGAGATGGGGTGAACTCCCATCTGTCAGCTCCAGCTTTCCATGTGGGGACATGAGAGAAGCCTCCCAGGCATCCCTGGGCAATGTCCTTGCAGACGGCCTATTCTCTCACAGCAGAAGCAACTTGCAGTTTCCCAAGTGGCTTCTGACATGAAAAAAAGTGCAGACACGCTCTGAATTCATTTGAATGGGGCTTGCCACAACAAGAAATCCTCACATCGACTTCTGCTTCCTTGTGTTAACTTGATTTGCACTTCAATAGTCCATCATTGAGGGCCAGTGCGCATGAGTGCCCTGCTTATGGAAGCATAGATTTCTTCTTTTGGCCTGTCTATGGTAGCTTTGCCTTCCCATGGTAAATGGGTCATTTGGCTTGTTCACATTGAAGCGACCTTGACTTGCTGCACATCAATGTGGCTGCCACAAGCAGGGTGGTCCTGTTCACCACTTTGGAGAGAACCCAAGGTCATGGTCTCGGCCATCCTCCTCGAGTTTTCTCAAATCAGGGGAAATAGCTGTGGAAAAAGCAATCCCACTTTCAACCTGGGAGGCTGCGCACCACCTCCGCATGCTGACTGGCAACACAATCCTTTACAAAACTAATTTCAGAGTAAAGTTTAGAAAGTTACAACCTCACAACCTCTGAGGATGCTTGCCACAGATGCAGGTGAAACATCAGGAGAGAATGCTTCTAGAACATGGCCACACAACCCGAAAAACGTACAACAACCCAGTGATTCCGGACATGAAAGCATTCAACAATACTTTAGAAAGTTACTTTTAAAAACGAATGAATTGCCATTAACTCATTAGTGTTTGACACTTCTATTGGTAATTCTTTGTTCTGCACCTGCAGCCCATCTCTGACATATGGTAACCCTATCAGATTTTATTCAGAGGGGGTTTGCCTTTGCTTTCTTCTTTGGCTGAGAGAATGACAGAATCATAGAGTTGGAAGAGACCTCATGGGCATCCAGTCCAATCCCATTCTGCCAAGAAGCAGAAAAATCGCATTCAAAGCACCCCTGACAGATGGCCATACTGCATTTTCTGATGGTCTTTGGCAACCCCTCTGACATTCCCTCACAACCCCTCCCCCTCCCCCCGCAGGGGTCCTAACCCCCAGGTTGAGAAATGATCTACATAATCGTGAAGCCAACAGAAAACTGAAAGTTATCTGGGAAGACCAAGAACTTGAACACTGTTCCAACCCTAAATATCTCGGTGTCACCTTAGACTGAACACTATCATTTAGGAAACACTGTGAACACCAAGCAAAAAGTAGCTGCATGCAATAACATGCTGCAGAAACTCACTATTAGCACGTGGGATGCAGACCCAAAATTAATAAGAACATCAGCCCTGGCTTTGTCTTATTCAACTGCTAAGTATGCCTGCCCCATCTGGCACAAACCTGCTCAAGCAAAGCAGGTGAATATAGCACTAAATGAGACATGTAGAATAATCACAGGATGCCTTAAACCTACACCTGCTGATAGAGTTTAGCAGGTGTAGGTTTAAGGCATACCCCCCCCCCGATGTGTGACAGCAAGTTTATACCAATTGCCAGGCATGTAGCCGGGGGGGGGGGGGGGGGGGGGGGGGCTTGAGGGGCTTCAGCCCCCCCTCCCCGAAGTTCTCATGGTGGTCCACGAGAAGGTCTTACTGGTACATTATTTAAACTGTTATGTTTATTCATATCATAATCTGATCACTATGCTCAATATATCCCATATGCATGGGGCTATTGGGGTAACGATATAAAAGGTTTACTAGGGTAGACCCTCTTTCACTCAGACTCAGCCCCCCCCCCCGAATCAAACTCAGCCCCTCCCAAATCAAAATCCTGGCTACGGGCCTGCCAATTGCGGTTGAACACCGTGAAAGCCACCCACTGTATGGCTATCAGCCTCCTTCCAGTAGACTCAGATCAAAGAAAGGTTTTATGAGAACCTAATTTCCAGAAGAATATTAGTATGCATTCTTGGAAATCTGTTCAAGTGCAATGAGTAGCCATGTCCACAAGTCGGGCATGCTTTAGATCAGGGGTCCACAAACTTTTTAAACAGAGGGCCAGGTCACAGTCTCTCAAACTGTTGGAAGGCCGGATTATAATTTGAAAAAAACATGAATGAATTCCTATGTACACTGCACATATTTTATTTGTAGTGCAAAAAACACTTAAAAACAATACAATAATTAAAATTAAGAACAATTTAAATAAATATAAGCTTATTAGTATTTCAGTGGGAAGTGTGGGCCTGCTTTCAGCTAATGAGATAGGATTGTTGTTGTTGTTGTTGTATGCTTTCAAGTAGTTTCAGACTTAGGTTGACCCTGAGCAAGGGCCAGGTAAATGACCTTGGAGGGCCGCATCTGGCCCCCCGGGCCTTAGTTTTGGGACCCCTGCTTTAGATTGTACCCCAATGTGGTATTGATGTGGAGCTCTCTCAAGAGAATCAGAGTTTGAATGATTTCATCATAAATTCTAATGTTCTCCTCAGAAGAAATGTTACTGTTCAAGAAATGGCCTGTGATTCATCTAAGGATACCAAATACTGACAAATGTGGTATTATCTTTGATCTTTTTTTTTTTATATCCATTTGGACATGCACATTGAATCCCAAAATTTAGTTTGGAACAATAACTTTGACTACACCAAATTTGGGTTACAAGCTATGGACTGAGTTCACCCCTTTAAAAGTTGTGCGAGTAAGTATGATTGATTCACCGCAAAGAGTTGCCATTTAATTCCACTCTAAAGACAAAATGCAGAAGGATGCTGAAGGTATTTAAATTAGGTTCCATCAGGTGCTCTTCGGCTGGATCTACACTGCCCTATATCCCAAGACCTGACTCCAATTATCTGCCTTGAATTAGATTACATGAGTCTATAACGCCTGATATATCTGAATAAGCAAATAACCTGGGTTCAGATTCTGGGATATAGGGCTGTGTAGATCCAGCCCTAGATGGCACTAGCAAAGGCTAAATGTAACAACAGAAATAAAACTAGTTTATTCTTCATTTTTTAAAATCTGAAATCCATCTGGATTTCTTTGTCCTGGACGATTAAAACTATATCCCACAACCTCTGAGGATGCTTGCCATAGATGCAGGCGAAACGTCAGGAGAGAATGCCTCTAAAACCTGGCCATATAGCCCGAAAAAACCTACACAACCCAGTGATTCCAGCCATGTGATTCCAGCCACTATACTCCTTTTCATCCAATATTTCACAGATGGAAAACAGGACACATGTGGCAAAGCAACACAAAACAATACAAATAATAAAAGAGAAAATGAAACATCACAATGAGATGAACCAATTAATAATACTAATAATAATAATAATAATAATAATAATAATAATAAAAATTACAAATCGAAACATCTATTCTGGCCTGAGGATCATATGTGGGATTAGTAAATATATATACACAAAATTATTTATTATTATTATTTATTTAAAATCAAATTCCTTTTTAAATCTCTGATGACAGATCAAGTTTCATCACTGGGTGATTGCAAGATCAAATACTGATTTCATATGGATTACCAGGAATTAAATTTTGTCCAACCACATGATATACCTGTAGTTATTTGTTGCGGTTGCCATCAGGTCAACTTGGATATATGGCAAGCCAGGAAATTAATGAACTCCAAAATAGTTGGTTTTATTTTTCTTTCGTGCCAAAAGCATTGCATAAATAAAACTGATAAAATACAGGGAGCACTAGCAACTTAATAGTTTTAGATCAAAAACGGGCAATAGCAACTGCATTGTCTGTAGCTTTAAATAGTTCTTCCTCTGTGCATGAGGTAGGTCATGGTGGGCAAGCATTCTGGTGCTGAGTTGTTTGTTCTGCTCCACAGTCACACAAGGTGGAGGATTCTTCTAGGTAGTACCATTTAGCCAGGTTGTCTTTTGATCTGCCCACTCTGCTTCTGAGTCTGTTCAGGGACTTCCAAGTTGCCCATTCTTGGTTTGTCCCTAGAGGAAGACCCTCCTGGGGGCCATCCAATTGGAATTGCCTAATTTTACTGCCCACAGGGATATTATTGCTGTTGCAGGAGGAACATTTTAAAGAGTGGTGGTTCTTAGGAAAACTTTTCCTTGATTTGAGTCTTTGGGGAGGAGGCTGATAGCCATATAGTGGGTGGCTTTCACAGTGTTCAACCTTACTTCTCCCGCAATTGGCATCCTGTCACACATTGCAGGGTGGGGGGGATGCCAGCTATCTTATAAAGTCTATCAGCAGGTATAGGTTTAAGGCATCCTGTGATTATTCTACATGTCTCATTCAGTGCTATATTCATCTGCTTTGCTTGGGCAGGTTTGTGCCAGACGGGGTAGGCATACTCTGCAATTGAGTAAGACAAGGCCAGGGCTGATGTTCTTATTAATTTTGGGTCTGCACCCTATGCACTATTAGTAAATTTCCATAGGAAGTTATTGTGTGCAGCTACTTTGTGCTTGGTGTTCACATAGTGTTTCCTAAATTTTAGTGTTCGATCTAAGGTGATGTCGAGATATTTAGGGTAGGAACAGTGTTCAAGCTCTTGGCCTTCCCACGTAACCTTCAGTTTCTTGTTAGCTTTACGATTATGTAGATGGAAAGCACACATTTATGTCTTGAAC